CTAAGAGCAAAAATAATTCACGAACAGTCTCCCAACTTCAAAAGTTATGTCGCAGGTATGATTATTATGATTCTGTGCATATGCAGATATGCAAAACTTTTTCGAACCTTTTTACATTAATATTCTATGTTTTGTGTCAGTTGTCACTACCGAACTAAGCCAAATATTAGCCGTATCCTGAAGCCATTTTTAAAGTACGGATAATGTCACTAATAATCAAAACGATGAACACGGGGAGACAAATGAGGGATTTAGATCTTAATCCNAGAAATTACTCTAAACTACTGTAGGAACCTTTTTTTTGAGTAAGTTAATTACAGGTTTGAGAACATGCTTAAATCTGTCGCCTGCAAACTTAACAGATGTGATTTTTGTAATCCTCTTTCAGGCAAGGTTTGCTCCAAGTTCAATAAAGATGTTCCCACACCAAGCCAAATTGTCCAGAAAATCAACATGAAGTGTGTAGAGGCAAGGCGGCCACCGAGAACCACAAAAGAATAACAACTGTTAGTTGAGGAAAAGGACAGTTGATATGACTTCATTGACTTGCTATATTTAGGTTACCACACAATTAGTCCATGTAGTTGTTGAAGAGATTTTCAGTTCAGGACAATTCAAGTTTGCTGCAGTAAGAACTACTGGGTTACAGTGTGACATTCTTCATGTTGCCAAGCAACAAACCTTTTTTTAAAGCCCATCAAATTTTGCTTGACAGTCAGTTATCCTCTAATTGAATTCAAACATGAGAACCATTGTATTAGGAAGTGTACCATGATACAAATTTGAATTTCCTGGTTAGCAAACTTAATTAAAGCAAGTTTGTTAGGTGGCCACTATAAGGTGCATCACCCTGTAAGATTATGACATAGAATTTTTAAGAGATTTTAGGCTTGTTTATTTGTATATATTTTACAATCCTTTAATGTTTTATATTATAAGAAGCACAACCCAAACATGTTTCCTCATGGTTGCTAGTTTTTTTCATAATGTGTAATATCCATCGAGGACAGGATAGAGAATTCATGTGGAGAGTACATTAAGTATATTTTTTTATAGTCTATTTGTATTAAATTATACACAAAGAATGCAAAACTGTGGTTCCTGTTTCCATGTTTTGAAGGCTTATGATATCTCAAACACTTTATGAATAGTTGGAGGTTAAGGTAACCACAATTAGTTTCTTTTGAAAATAGTTAGAGGTATCAGTGAGTCTGACCTCTGGTTTGAAGAAAAACACAGAAACAGGAGGTAGCCTCTCTCAAGATCTTCTGCCCTTTTTACCAATGAAATTGACTACTGGTACATATTGACCTCAGGACTGAGCATTAATTCTCCTAACCCCATTCCATAAGCATTCAGGCACCACTGGGTATGTCCTAAGGGCAAAATCTGTGGCATAGAATTACCATAGTTTGTGGTGAGATGCATTGATCATATGGCGTTGCTATGGGACTGTAATCAGAAGTGAACTTGATAATTACCAGATGATATGGGAATTGTATGGAACTTCCAGAATTTTATAGCATTTCCATATCAGATGCTCCAGTACAACAACTGATATGGGAATTGTATGGGACTTAACAGAACGTGTAACATTCCTATATCAGATGCTAGTATGTGTGGATGATATGGGAATTATATGGAACTGTGCCAAATACAAAGCATTCCCATACAGAAGGGTCAGGGATCATATAGTATTGGTATGGAGCTGATCCATATCATTCCCATACCAGACACTGTGGGAAATCTATGGAGCTGTGCCAAATATGTAGCAATACCATAGTTAAAGACAAAAGAATCAAAACTGAATGAAGACAGTAGCCCATACTAAAGCCATATACTACCCATATATGGGTCATAGTTTGTCATATCATTTCCATACCTGGACCATACATGGCTCATATCACCTGGTTTGGTAATGAGCCATTTGTATACTCATCTGTCTGTGATGCACTGCAACTTTTCAATGTCAGTCAAAAGATTTTAGTCTTATCAGTCTTGTCTTACCCTAACCCTAACCTTTTGGCTGAATTTGCAACTCTTAAAACACCAATAAGAGTCACCAATTCTCCATTTGAGGACACTAAGGAGAGCTGTGCTTAACTGTCTTGCAAGAAATGGTAATAGTTTTACATTCATGGTACCTCTAGTCTCTTTGCTGAGATGATCCAGAAAGAAATAGCTTGATTATAAAAATATTTTATTACATGTTTAATTGGCTACAATTCATTTTGCAAAGGTAAAACTAAGACTTCAAAGTAGAAAAATGTAAGGTCCTGTGGGTATAGAAAATGCAAAAGAAGTTTCCTCACATTTTACACATGATTAGGTTAAAAAATACATAACCATACATAAAATGATGTACATAGGAACTGATCCCTGTCATTTTTTTCATTACTATATTCCAAATTGATCAAAACACATGAACATGCACAATTCTACAATCCTGGGTGTTCAAAGTCATTGGATATCCCAGAATTCCTCAACCAAATTTTGTTTCTGGGATCTATTACTAATTCTGATGTGGAGATTATTTTCTTGTTGCTCTAAACAATTTTCTTGCTACTCTATTTCCGAGTGACAACTTTGAACACTGCCAATTTTAGGTACTGTTTCATTTTACTGCTCATTCTTGCTATTTTAACAAGTCCTTCTCTGAATTCTGACCAGAATTCAAAAGGCTAAAGCTTCTATTTCTTTGGAATAGCCAACTTTAGCAATCATGACAAGATGTCTCCTTCAACCACAGTGTGCTGAATCAATTTCCAAACAACCATTTTGTATAACCCTAACCCAAACACCCAACCCTCACCCTAAGCAAACCTGACCCCTACCCTAACCCTTAGCATTTTCCCCAGGGTTAACGAAAATCCTAAGTTGTAACAGGACGCTGAGAACAAGATAACAACAAAACCCATGTTTAGAATTGAAAACATACTTAAGTATCTAAAGTATTATCTATTTCTACTAGAAGGTTGAGGATGATGTTCTAACTCAGTTTTGTTGGGTGGGATCCAAAAATGCAGAGGGAGGTCCAAATCTGTCAGTAGATTTGGACTGGGAAGGGGGGGGGGGTCCATATCCATTGTTGAATTTGGACCAAAGGGTCCTTATCAATTCTCTACGGCAAAAAGCACGTCTCTTACTATGTAAAGAATCTCCAGAACGAAAATAATTTTGATGATCAAGTTCTGAATCCCTCATTTGTCTTCCCATGGTTATCATTTTCATTATTGGAGCCGTCACAGCAGAAGTCACTGATGTTACGAAAGTAATTTTGAGGCCTCCTGGATTAAGATCTAAATCCCTCATTGGCCTCCCCGTGTTTACCGTTTTGATTATTGGCGCCATTATCCGTACTTTAAAAATTGCATCAGGATATGGCTGATACAGTATTTGGATTGGTTCGGTAGTCGGACAACTGACACAAAACACAAATTAAAAATTAATATTGAGGTAAAAAGGCTCGAAAGTTTTGTATCTCTGTATATGCACAGAATCATAATAATCATACCTGCGACATAAATTTTCGAGCTGGGAGACTGCTAGTGAATTAATTTTGCTCTTAGCGTATTTCTGTATTAAACATCATTATCTTGGACGATGTGCACAACAGTTTATGTCAGTCGTTGACGCATGCAACCTAAAACAACGACCTCAGACGAACGGAAATCAGGACATGAAAAGATGTTTCACAAGACCACTGGACACTTTGTCATCTTCCATCATCTGTGTTCACGTTAACGAAGTTAAAAGGACAGAAGAAAGACAACAAAACTGGGTAAAATCCGTCATAATGCATCCGAAATGAAATCTGAGAAAAGCACTGATTATCTGCGGCCGCCATATTTAGTATACCGCTGGTTGGCGGAAGGGCTCACAGCAGACGAGGGAGATTGGTGCCAAGCGAATGTTCGTGAACGATCGAGGTTGTTCTGGATTGCACCCCTTACTCTAAGAACAATCTAGCAGCGGCTAGGATGTTATATAACCTTTAGAATTATCTCGAACCTTTAAAAAAAAAGGATTCGAGAACTCTCTAGATACTTTTCATCCTTTTCATTAAAAATAAAGTCAATTTCATTGGCTCATCGCGGATAAAATGATGTCAGCATATTTGTATTTTTAGATATCTGATGTAATGTTTCTTTGGTTGAGGGGTATAAATACAAGCCTTTTTACAAAGCTGGTCAAACTTTAACGAAGAAGAAGCTGACTCAACAAGACAAAGGACTAATTCAATGATTCTCAGAGACAGGCCACAAAAGATGCTGGGACAATAGCAGGGCTGAATGTGAAGAGGATCATCAATGAGCCAACGGCTGCTGCTCTCGCATATGGCTTGGAAAAAAATCTCAGCGGCGAGAAAAACGTGCTAATATTCGATCTGGGAGGAGGAACCTTTGACGTCTCCATTTTGACAATCGACGAGGGATCACTCTTTGAGGTTCTCTCCACAGCTGGTAACACACATCTTGGCGGAGAAGACTTCGACAATCGCATTGTGGATCACTTTGTGAAAGAATTCAAGAAAAACTTTAAGAAAGATCTCAAAAACAATCCGAGAGCACTTCGTCGCCTGAGGACTACCTGTGAGCGAGCCAAACGAACACTGTCATCCAGCACTCAAGCTAATATAGAGATCGACTCCTTATCCGAGGGGATCGATTTCTACTCTAAGATAACCCGAGCCAAGTTTGAAGAACTATGCATGGATCTCTTTCGCTCCTGCCTCGAACCAGTGGAAAAGGCGCTAAGGGATGCAAGGCTTGACAAAAATCAAATCCACGAGGTGGTTCTGGTTGGGGGCTCTACAAGGATTCCAAAGATACAGAAACTTTTAGAAGACTTCTTCGATGGTAAACAGCTAAACAAGTCTATTAACCCAGACGAAGCTGTAGCTTACGGTGCTGCAATCCAGGCTGCCATTCTATCCGGGGACCAAAGCTCAGAGATCAAGGATGTCCTGCTACTTGATGTTGCACCCTTAAGTCTCGGCATTGAAACCGCTGGTGGAGTGATGACAACACTGATTGAACGCAATACGAGAATCCCAACCAAGGTGTCAAAAGAGTTTACTACATACTCAGATAATCAGCCAGCTGTTACCATTCAGGTGTTTGAAGGAGAGCGTGCCCTGACCAAAGACAACAATGAACTGGGACGATTTGAGCTGAGCGGAATCCCACCCGCTCCCCGGGGCGTGCCCAAAATTGAAGTCTCTTTGGATATTGATGCCAACGGGATCTTGAACGTGTCCGCGAAGGATCAGAGCACTGGAAGAACCAACACCATCACTATTACCAACGACAAGGGAAGGTTGTCCAAAGCTGACATTGATCGCATGGTGGCTGAAGCCGAGAGATACAAGGAAGAAGACGAGAAGCAACGTCAAAAAATCTCAGCCAGAAACAGCTTGGAAAACTATGCGTACAACGTCAAACAATCGATTGAAGACCCGAACGTGGAGAACAAACTCAGTTCTGCAGATCTGGAGGCGGTAAAAAGCAAGGTGCAAGAAGTAATCGCTTGGTTGGACAGAAATTTGCAGGCAGGCAAAGAAGAGTACGAAGAAAAAGAGAAAGATCTACAGGGACTGTGTTCACCAATCATGGCCAAGTTATATGGACAGCAGCAGAGCACCGACGGGTCCTGCAATGGACCCACAGTAGAAGAAGTTGATTAAGTGATAAGTTACTGTTTTTGGACATTCATAACTGTTTTTAAAATGATTAGATGATTATGTATTTTTTTAGTTTTTTTGCATGCATGATATTGTAAAAATATTTTACTTCACATCATTTGGAACAAGTATCCTTTAAGCGTACAATAAAAGTATTAGCATACACAGTATGATTTAGGTCAGTCGTTACAAAAACTATTTGGATGTGCTCTCTGAAAATTAGCAAACGTTAGTTATACGGATTTTTTACAAGCCCTAGCTGAGTATTGTCGAAGTGTCTTTTTTTTTAATGTAGCGGAATGTATGTAATGTAGGAAACAACTTCTAGTCAAACATTGCGAATGTAATGCTACTTTGGCTATTATGAACGAAGAGAAGCAAAAACAAATCAAAATGTGCGTATTATGGGCCGTTGGAAGACAGATGAATAAATTCAGAATGGCAAACTAGTTAAGAGTTGAAAGTTACATTTCTTAAGTTTCCATTCCCAATAGTGTCTGGCAACCTATTGATGATAATGGTACCACCTGTAAGGGAATGCGTTTTCAATTCAGCGCGAATCACTTACCCCAGAGTTAAAAAATATTAAATACAGAGATGAAGAAAACAATGCGCTGGAGCTCTCGTTTATAAGTTAAGCCGATGGAAGTTAATTTGCACCGTTTACTTGATCTTGTTTCGTTTTAACGAGTGAAAAATAGGTTGTATATCTGGTTCATGTATATGGCGGTTCAAAGTATTTTGGATATACAAATCATGTAAAATTTATTGACTTGCATGATTTTTTTTTACATTTTTGGAAATCCCATTTGATGCTGAAACACAGTAAAAGAAGAAATGTGAAATGTACCTGCAAAGTTGCTGTTAGTGAGGGGATCAGTTGTAATGAGTGGTAATAAAACGAAAACAATTCCCTAAGTAGGATCAGAATTGGAAGCTTGTTACTTTAGGGATGGTCGACTTCAGAAATCCTGAAGAAACGTCTCTTTCAACTGCTGTGCGCTGAATCAAGCTTTCAAAAAAAACCATTCTCTAAGTAATTAGGTACTTCGTGTCTGTACAGATTGCTATTCCATGCAAAGACTGATACAAGTGAAGTCTACTGCTTAATCTGTTCATTTTCCTGCTTCTCCTTCTTTTTACACGCATAGCTGTTTGTTGGTGTTTCTGAAGTTTGATTGAATGACAGAAAGCTGATGATAGAAAGGCCGCTCGCTTTTTCCGTTTTTTTTTTTTTTTTTTTTAATGCAGCACTTTATCTTTTCCCTTTATTTTAAGTTCAGGATGCAGAGAAAAAGATGATATAATTTATTTATACATCCTTTTTTTTAACCATGTAGTACGAAGGAAGGATTTGTATTTTGGCATAGATCATACACAAAATAATAATAAATTATCCACAATTTTTTTTAGGTTAGTATACCTCCTGGTTCTCCAGCTCCCCTCACTGCCAAAAGAGCGTTTTCAGAAGTGCACCACAATATATAACCTTGCCAGCACCGCACAATATGGGAAAGTGGAAATTTTGATTGTTTTATTTGAAAGTTTTTGTCTACTTTACATGTAAATTGGCACAAACTGACAATTTGCTATTAAGTGTATTATCAACCAAAAGAATTAAATTGGTGTTATCACCAAAAATGAAAGAGTATTTGAGTTGTTAGTATTGAAAGTTGCCATAAGGAAATAAAGTAGCAAGAAAATTGTGTGAAGCAACAGGAAAATAATCTCCATGTCTAAACTTGAAATAGTTCCAGCCAATAAAATTTAGCTGGAGAATTCTATACAAATAGCTGGAGGTGATATCCAATGACTTTGAACACCCAGACTCGCAGAATTTTTCATGCTCATGACGTGCTTTGATCAATTTGAAACAAAGTAATGAAAAAAACCAAACCAGAACAAAAAATGACAGGGACCAGCTTCTACATGATTTTCACCTACAATAATCCTCTTCAGTTTGAATTGACAATGGACACTTTCATACATTTATGTTTATTTTTCCAACGATCAAATGATTGTGCTTTAACAGATTCCATAACAAGTTTGCACCATCTGCTGGAAATTTGCCCCACTAACCGAAACTAGGAAAACAGACACTTGTTGGGGAGGAGGATATGGTTTTGCACATTACGATTCGCTCAATTTCAATGTTTTTTGAAGCTTTTAAAGTTAAAGAACTAGATCCATTGACTCTCTGTCATACACAAATATCGCTGTTTTTGTGCCTCAGTGTTTTCTGCAAAACATGAGCATCTGCTGGTTCAATATGTTTGTAGTATTGTTTCTTTGTTTCTATTATTTCAAATCCAAATCTTTTGTAGAATCCTATTGCTCCCTCATTACTAACTTGAACATGCCTGAAATGAGACAGAGGAAAACATCAATTATGAACTTTCTTGTATGTCAGAGAACCAAAGCATAAATTGCATTAATGAAATTTTTCAACATTATATTGCAGATAACATTCAAATGTGGTAAGAACAATAAAGTGGCACACAAGTGCAGCCAAGTGTGTCACTGATGTTCTTACCAAACTTTAGCATCTGTTGTGTGTCACTGCTGTGCAAACGCATGGCAATACAGGGCTTGAAATTAAAAAAATTCTTGATCGCAATTTGTGAGTAATTTCATAAAATTTAGTTGCAAGCTTCAAAATTTTAGTTGCAAAAGTAACCTACTTCTACAGGAACTGGAAATTAGAACTAAAGATTTCCTTACCATTGCATGATGTAGTTTCTGAAAAAGTGCACCCATGATACATTTCTCAGCAAGAAATCAATGATAAAAGTCACGCAACATTTAAATTGAATTTTGCAGGATTTTTTAGATAAAACTACATCAAGCAGTAACAAGTAAGACTCAAGGCTGTTAAATATAATTTCTTTATAAGCTAGGCTGTAAATCGGTGAAATCTTTATTCACAAATGCACCCCACACAGGCGCAATTTCAAGTCCTGCAACGTGAAATCTCTTTGTTTTATGGGATAAGGAAGCAAGTTGTTGTCAATGATGACACCATCCATGCATCTGTCTTTGAAAACATCACATATAGGAACCAATCAAAATGTATTTACAATTCACCATATCATATGAATACATTACCATTAAGTTCTGAAATGTTATTTTACCCAAATCATTTATAATACAACTACTAATTATGCATATTTGGTTATAAGAAAGAGGGGACTTGCTATAGTATTAATGGTATTTGTTTAAGACAATGAACAAAGAAGAAAAATCAAAGGAAAATAATTGTCAGAAACTTTGAATAACAGTAAGGGCCAGTTAGTTACACGTGGTCTAACCCAAACCACAGTTTTCTGCAATCAGTGGGCATCAGGCTCCCTCTGCAAGTGGGTTGATTTAACAAAATAAATGTACTTCCATAGCTGCTAGCTTTCAGCCCTCTTGAAACTGTTCACAATATATGAATGTTCAGTTGAAAGGTTCAGCTAATTGAAGATTGTGTAGGGTGCAGTTTTCTTAAACAACAGCTAAACTTTGCCAAATAATCTGCCCTAAGGTTTCAACCTTCAGAAAACAAAAATGTAGTTCCTCCTACCAATATCAACTACAACAACAACAACAAAAAAAACAACTTACAAGTAAACATTGTCAATGTTACCATCCTTTTCACAACATTTTAACACATGTTCCAGCATGACAGTACCTAAGAGTAAAAAGGGCCATGGTGTAAACATCAAATACACAACTCAATGTAGAAGTGTTTCAAACCTTTGTGCACCTCTTGAACATTTTGATGTTGCAAGCAGTGCAAACCAATTAGACTTAAGAGCCACTAACCTTGAGTATCGAGAGTCTGCCGACAGTCGCAAAATTTCGTAATTCATTTGATTTCTTGTAAAGGACCCTTTTAACGAACCTTTTTCGAAAATTATATCAAAAAGTTCTGTCATGCTTTTTTGTCTCCAAAAAATTGAAAATTTCAAAATATGCCTAAATGGCCATTGTCTCCCCGATAAAGAAATGAAAAATTATGCAACTTTGGCAACTTCATATGCTACAATGCGATGCAATTCCACTTTAAATTTTGTGTGCTAGCATATGGTCCTTTTATCTCTTAGAAAATATTAACTTCTTGTTATGCTGTTATGTTTAAGTCTGAATAGTGACCCGTTGAAATAAAGTACTTTGCATCTCTTTTACAGAGGTAAAATAAAGGTCAACTTCAGTAGCCTACAAATAGGTCTGCCAGATATACTTACAAATCAAAATGTAAATCATCTTAAAGCTTTATGCTTGTATTTTAATTCCTCCAATTCGCTATCTTGACCTGCCATAAGCGGCATTTATAGGCTTAAAAGAGTTTGGGCTATTTTGTCAAAAATGCAATGCAAACCGCTGAACAGCTGTCACAATCCATTTTAAGACCTTTAAAAAGGTCTTGTATGATATATTTACAAATCAAAACACATATCTTCTTTAAGCTTTAACCTTTTAGTTTAAAGGCTGATAGTTTCGAAAGAAACTGTTTGGGGCTGCGTCGATGGGAGTAACGAAGTAATTTGGATATATCAACAAAGTTGAAATGGTAATTTGGCCACCGTAACGATTACAAAAGCTGACGTTTCGAGTGTTAGCCCTTCGTCGGACGAAGGGCTAACGCTCAAAATGCCAGCTTTTGTAACCGTTACAGTGGCCAATTTACCATTTCAACTTTGTTGATATATCCAAATTATTTCCTTTTAGTTTAATTCCTCTAAGTTTCTTTCCTGGCCCACCATAGGTGGAACATCCAGCTTTCAAAGAGTTCGACTAAAATGACAAAAAATGTAAGGCGATCCGTTGAATGGCTGGCACACAAGAGGTCATGCATTTGGTATATTCCTGGCCAAGCTGAAAGATCAGCCTTGACCTCTTGTGTGACAGCCGTTCAACAGATTGCATTACATTTTTTGTCATTTTACTACTTATGCGAGGTACCTTATTTTAACTGGTCACAATTCAGACTTAAAAGTAACAACATAACAAGAAATTAATATTTTCCAAGAGATGAAAGGATCATCTGCTAGCACACAAAATTTAAAAGCAGGATTGCATGGCGTTGTAGTGTACAAAGTTGCTGAAGTTGCATAATTTTTCATTGCCTTATTGGGGGGGGGGCAATGGTCATTTAGGTGTATTTTGAGCTTTTTGACTTTTTGGAGAAAAAAGCACAATAGAACTTTTTGATTTAATCTTCTAAAAAGGTTCATTAAAAGGGTCCTTTAGAAAAGAACGAAATTTTGCAACTGTCAGCGGATTCTCAGCATTTACCGTCAGGGCTCTTAAATTTGTTTAGAACAAACCCAATTAAAAGCACAGTACTAGAAGTATGATTCTTTCAACTTACCAATAGCAAGTCTTCTATAGGGGGCTAAACATCCCAAAGTCATTATATAAAGCCGTCTAGTATCTTCTATCTGGTCAATACGACAGCAAACAGCTCCAACTACAATGTCATTGTAAAAAGCTAAAAAAGGATTCAGGATAAAAACATTACAACATATTAATTTGTGATGGAAGTCTGGTTTTCATGAATATGAATGAAACATAAAATGTTTTGAAATGAGCGCGTGTGTTTTAAGCTACAGCTGCATATTCTAAAACAAGAAATTTTGGTAAAAGGGAACAAGTTAAACTCCCTTCCCCCCTCCTGTGAGGATTTACCTATCAATTGTAATATTTGATACACAAACAATGACCATGAGACCATGTATTTATGATATTATGGATTCAAATGTGACTAATATGTTACATACTGTTTCAATCAGCAATGCCATACTTGTCTAAGTTGGAGACAGAATATGATAGGGGGTAAATTTTAAGCTTATTTGTCCATGTACATGTACATGTATGTAAAACAAAGAAAGATGTTTGGAATTTATCATGTGTACAATGTGAGGAAAATATCTCTTCCATTTTCTCAAGATCTGAAACTGAAAATTTGAAACTAATATAAAATATAGATGAGAATAAAGATTGAATGAAGTTGGGGCTACTACATCCACAGGATCTTCTTTGTTTCCTTGGTTGAAGTTTGCCAAAATAAATAGCAGCAAAATAAATAAATGATAAAATAGTTTTATAATTAATCTATTTCCTACAGAATTATCTTATTCAATACTACTCATTGAGTTACCTAGTTTGGCTAGTTCTCCCACTTCAAGTACATCCTTGTAAAACTGTAATGAAATTAAAAATCTGAGTGAGAATTAATAGGTTTAGCTAACAATTATGTTAATTATGAGCTTCAGATTTCATAAGTAACATTAATGACTCTCACCCATAGAAATAGACAGTGAATGATCTAATCCTTCTTGTTCAAAACCTACATGTATCGTCATTTTGATTACAACGGCACACATTACCCTCCATCTTTCACAGAAGAGATACACACTGTAGTGAATTGCATAACATATCAGATTATGCTGGTTGATTTATATTATTACTGTAGAAAAAGTGATCGAATTCCCTAAAATGGTACTTAACTCTTCACCAGCATCACTTGCATATATTTTGCAAACAAATAAAAGTTAGAGCCTGCTGCAAATATAAGTAGGACCGGAGGATGGCAGGAAATCAAAATTTATCCAAACCCTTGAGAGGCAAGATTTTCCCTGGAGAACAAATGTAATTGGGCGTATTCTTTGATGACATAAATACATACCTTCGAATTCGGTAGAGAAATATTAAGTGCAGAATATTTGAAACCTCATTTTCTTTGTTGAAGAGCTTTGAAAGTTAGGAGTAGTATTGTCGCAGTTAAAATTCATATTCAGTGAGATGCAAATCATCGACAAGGTAGTCTGCAGTTGAGCGAATTTGTGAAGTTACAGAACACCTAAATAAAAACGCCGCCTACATATATTTAGCGTGATGATGGCAGTGTAATGACATCTTGAAAATGAAAAGGTTGGTTCTCTCTGCACATGCGTTAGTTCCAAATTGTCACATGCAATGTACACGATTTTTGTTCTTTGGGAAGACATTTCAGTGTCTCATCAGCGGATGACCTTGTAAATATCTAAATAGAGAATCGTATCTTAAACACACGACAGATAGCTAAATTTTAACCTTGTCGTTATAGCTGACGGGAAATACAACAGAGTTCAACTTCTTGAGCTGCTTGATGTTATGAGGGGTAACATCACCCAACTCCGTCCTTCCCTTCCTGTTCAACGGTAACAGTGAAACATCAGTGAACACAAAGGCGATCAAAACAATCGATCCAGAAAGATACTCACGGTTTGAGGGGTTTTGATGTGACAATTTCTTGATCGTTCGACATGTTTCGAAAAGATCACTCAAGTAGTCGTTCCCGCCAAACACTGCCCATGCTCGAGCCTCGCTTTCAGCATCGCTGGTAATACCACTGGTAAAGAAGTACTTATTGCTGGCTCAACTTGCAAAATGGCGACCCTGGAGATTCGCCTGAAGAGAGTGAACAAGATTTACCACGAAGGCGTCAGTATTTTGTCGAATATTCTTATATTTTAAGCGCAATTACACGTTAAGTATCATGGAATTATCTCTATTGTAAACCTATAAATCCATAACTCTGGAAGACATGTATACCTACATGCGTACATACATACTTCTACCTAGATCAATCCTATTTGATTGTTAGTTTATGAGTTCGAGATTTCTACCACAGGATAGTTGATCAGGGAGAAGCCTTCAATCAACTGTCATGCATATAAAATCTAGAGTGAATCATTGTGATTGTTTTAGTGTAAATTTTGTAAGTCATTCAAAATTCTCCCCACTATCTACCACAGAGTAGACAGCAAATGGGGTAGCCAATCAGATTTCAGTATTTAGAAGATTTATACTAATATTTGAGGGACGGATCTAAAGTAAGTTGTGTACATGTTCGTATAAAGTTTAATTGTATCCTTACAATTCTATAATCATTTCAGGTTTGAAACTCACTATCAAATTTACAACTCTCCTAAATGGGAAAAAGGATGCATCTAAAAGAAACCTAAAAGTAAAGGTTTGGGTAAAGCCCAGAAAATGCACAGTTTACGTGCATAAAATTATAACTGCATCTACAAGGTCAAAGTTTTTTCAAGTTATCAGGTTATTTTTCTGGAGTTGAACTCATTAAAATGCTCACTTCTAATAGATTAGACAGAATCAACTGGAGCTTCTTGTATGATTTATGAAAGGAGTGACAGTAAGACTTAATAGGGCTTTACCCTTACTTTGATAAAAGATATGAATTAGAATTTGTTCGGGGAATTAAAGTATTTCAAACATAAGTGGACAGTCCATTGAAGTGATATAGAATTTTGATATAACTTGGGGATGTTATGGAATCACCTTCTTTTTCTATTGATCTCAGGACATTGTTAAAGGTGTTATTGTGGTTCAAAGTCGTGGAGAGCTCTCACACAATGGTATTACTCTGTCTATGGAAGGATCTGTGAACCTGCAACTGAGTGCTAAAAGTGTTGGAGTTTTTGAAGCATTCTACAATTCCTTGAAGCCAATCCATCTGGTCAACTACTCCTTAGAGATTGCAAAACCTGGAAAATTATACCATTCTATTTCAGTCTCTTAAATTTTGCATTTGATAGTGTATTTTATATATTTTTATCCTTTTTTCAGACAATTGTTACGGCACCATGAGATATTTTCAAATTTTCACATCACTGTAATTTTGTTTGTTTTTTTCCATTGTTGTCGAAGAACTGAAGGACTCTTTTTATCCTTTTCTGTATCACATGCATATTTTTACTTTAAATGACAAATCTCACATAACCTATTTACTATTCAGACTTTACCTTCTTTACTGTTTGGGTAATAGTCATGTGAAAGTAGGTCATTGAGATGTTATGTAGTTCAGATTTGAACATTTAAAGAATATTAAGATTGACCTGGCTATCTACAGACCCATTATTGTAAAATGTTGAATAGTTTGAATGCTATTTTGAGATTGATTTAAATGACTGTAATGTTTACACCAAATGGCAAGACTGAACTTCCTTTTGAGATTCCACTGAAACCCAAGGGTAACAAGCCACTATATGAGACATACCATGGAGTGTTTGTTAACATTCAGGTATTTTTTAGTTTTACACATTGATCATTGGTGTGATTTTACAATGTTCAATGCTTGTTACTGCTTTAGTATATTTAGCAGGTTGTTATATTTATCAAAGCATCTACATTTTTTGTCTTGATATAAGTTTCATCAAAGGTGACACAAAATTGAGCAGACCTATTAGGGCCACCTCCAAAACTAGAGCAGCCTTCAGCGATTTTTACACCTAATTGTCCACTTCACTGCAAAAACATTTATACCTAAAAAGTGAAGGTCTATGAATGATGAGACCCAACAGCTTTATGTGTAATTTTTGCACAGTTACCCAGTCGGTGCTTTTCTTTTTCCATATCATTCATGGAAAATCTTTGTTTATGATTATTCTTTTCTTTCAGGAAAGCATGGATGACTTCTATCTTTTACCACATTTAACTAATATTGTGGTTATCATGTACATGTGCACTGATAAAGCCCATAGGTCTCATCATTCATTCCTTTTTTTTTTAGGTGTCAGCCTTTTTGCGATTGAGTGTAAATCTTAAAAGAATTGATGCATTGGTCAACTTACTTATAAAAATTATCCAGATCAATAACATACCATATACCAAAGATTGCATTTTTTGCAATATTTTCTCATTTCCATACCTGCTAATCCTTGCACAGTGTTAAGTATAGAGTCAACTCCTGTAAGAAACCACTTTTCGACAGAAGTTTTTCCAGGCATAAACTCTCGTTAGTGACCTCAGCTAGTTCAGCATCAAACTTCAGGTCGCCTTCACTTATCATTTTTGATCCCATTCCGACAAAACAACGAATAAATTTCCAATGAAGGGAAAGACCCTCACTATAACTTTTTAGTTATTTGAGTGTATCTTCGTATTTTTTTCTTATGAGAAGAAAAGTTATTTTTAAATCACCTGTTGACACCTTGTCTATTTTTCTGCAGTATTATCTCCGAAGTGAAATGAAGAGGCCATATTTGAACAAGGACCTTCAGAGCCAAGCAGAGTTTATTGTTGAGAATAAGGTTATTTGTGAACTTGTATACAGTCAAACCTTGATTATCCAGACTTGTAGTGATTGGGTGAATAATTCAGTTAATCAAAAGTCAAGATAATCAATGAATATCATGAATTTCAATACAGTTATTAAAGCTCACCAACAACACTCTACCATGCCAACATGCTGATGTAAATCAGTTTGTTTCAAACTGTTACAGAGAGTTAGCATCACTTATTCCATCATTCTATAAACTGCATGCCTTGGGTACATCAGTGAAATAGCATCAACGTTGTTTTTTCTTTCCACTCACGTTAGACACTTCCTAACAGATTCAAGTGCTTGAATAGTGGGAAAACATCACTTCAAATGTTCATCACACATGTTTTGTTTGAAGGAAAAATTAATGGTTGTTGATTGATATTCATAAAAAGTGGGACCAGAAAAATCTGCATAAGCAAGGTCCATAGAGTCAAGGTTTTACTGTCAGTACTCATTTTACTTTATTGAATAGACAAACTGAAGCACCTTTTAAAGTCCTTCATAAACCTTCATGCACTAAAATGGACTAAAGTGATCTGTTCATCAACTTTCATCAGAAAGCTGAGAAGTGCACAATTAAGTGCTGTTATTGGAGAAGTGAAATTCAAAAAGATGATTCTTTTAGCATTAGTCTAAAAGCTTTGAGGATGCAAAGAGGAGAATTATTGGTTGCATTTGTGTTTTTTTAATTGTTTTATGAAGCTACATGTTTAAGAAAGAAGATCCATGAATAAGTTATTGCACTGAAAGTTTCTGTCATTCACATTAGGTAATTGCAGCTTACCTGCAAAGATCATTTCTTTACTCTGTATATCATCTGTGGGTGAAAATATTTTTTGTTTCATGATTATTTATTATTTTTTGGCTATAATCATCTCATATCCAACAAGCTCGAGTGGAATAATTGTTTTATTAAAAACGTTAAATTAAATTATTAAATTTTATTAAATCTTTAGCTCCCTTTTAATTTTAAGCTGACACGTACGCTTGCCATATTTGTAGATTATGGTATATTGGCTGATATACCATAATGGCTAAGCCAATAAAAAGTCTTGAATTGCATTATCCAATGATCTAGTTTTTAATAATTATTGTTATCATTATTAAATATTATCATTATTTTGTTATTCAACCGAGAAGCCACAAGATACGCAGAACCATATACCCCTGTGGAACTGTAGTTCCTGACAGTTTATGCAATTAATAAGTCAAATTCTTAATTGTAAGGAAAATAAGTATAAGTGAAGTTTTTTAATATCTCTAGCACTATTGTGGTGGTGCTAATATTGTTCTCTGACAGTTCTTGAAATAAATTTTTTTCAGGTGACATCTAAGAAGGTAGAGGTGAAACCTGTAGAGTTTTCTATCACACCAGAGTCCCTTGAAAATGTGAAAGAGGTAATGTTTATTATTCACACTTGTGCAAACAATAAGTCAATATTGTGGACTAGAGTACTTTTTTCCAACCAAGGGTCACACTCTCTCCTAAACTCTTTCATCAGCATAAACAGGGCTGGCTTACTCTGCTGGTTTGTGTTAATAAATTATGTTTGTGTTTCTTTAGAAAGCCAAGGTACCAAAGTTTCTGGTAAAAGGCAATCTGGACACTGCTCTTTGCTCTATCTCTAAACCATTCACAGGAGAGGTAAGAGTTTGATTCTTGTCTAACAGGGTAAAATAGTGAAAAGAGTTTCAGGAAATAACTTTGAAAATATAAGTTTGATATTAAACTTTGAGATAATTGAGGATGATATCAGTTCACACATCAAAGTAGGTAATCTAAGTGGACAAAATATTAAAATATTCTTTTAAAACAAAGTTCATCAGTGGAGAAGATTTGGCCCATAGAACAGCCTCTGTAATGAACAGCAAAAAATTATTTGGCCAGGTGATTACAGGACGAAACTTAAGTATAATTGTTATTTCATAGCTGGAGGTTGTCAATTCAGACAGACCTATCAAATCCATTGAGTTGCAGCTTGTCAGAGTAGAAACATGTGGTAAGTAATTTTTATAGGTTTCTTATGTGTGGTTAACACTTATCTATTATATGTCCTTGGTAATGATATTTCTATGGTGCTCATTATGTTTGGATGCACATTTCATTTTTATTTCTGTGAGATTAGCACCAGAAATGTGCTGTAGAGGAACAGTTGTTTTATCTCATAACTCAGCAATTGATTGAAGAAAAAATAACTTTCCAAAAGAGGTTCTAATTTTTTTTATATCTTGGACAGTTGTGCAACTTTCTCAAAAAAGCCAAAATTTCTTGCCACAATAGGATCCAATAAATTTTGACACCATAGCAAACACTGTTGAACTTCAGAGAATTGCCTTTAGGTGTACTTCAGTATGTAGTTCAGGGAAGGAATCTTGGCATTTTGATCTCTATGGCAGATCTCTATCTTTATATTATAATATATTTCTTAGTTGTTTCCTTCGTTATATTTGGATGAAGTCTTTTGAGGATGACCTCTTTAGCCCCAAAGTATGTCAGATAAGGTCCTGACCAATGACCAATGAGGATGGGCCAAAACACAACAGGAGCAGCTTAGTATCCTGCCGCATAAATAGCGACAGACTATCATTCAATCAGACTATCATTTCCTGACAAAGACTAGCAGTTGAGCGTTCAAAACATCACTATCTGAATTGATGGCTTAATTTGCTTGAGAATAATTGGTAGTGATTCTAAACGTGAAACAAACAGTTAGACATTCAATTTCAAATTTCCTTTATGCTTATGCTTCATAATTGTAATTATAGTTTTTGTTATGATTATTATTGCTTTTAATATTATTATAATCATCTTTATCACAATTAGCACCTGACTCACAGTATCATTAGTAGTATTGCAGCTATACAAATAAAGTACACAGTAAACTCTTAATTACTAAATTTGTTGACTATAGGTTGTGCAGAGGGATACTCAAAAGATGGTAACTATATTGTATGTTGCTAGTGCATGTAGAATTATTTATTTGGTGAGCATGGGTTTGTCTTGGCCACCTTTTTTCAGGAAATGGTTAATTTGTTCTGTGCAAATGTAAAGTAGCGGTGCGTGATGAAGCATACCTTAGTATATTACCACCTGTTTTTATATTTGCGTAGTTCTTCCATCTTACACATATGGGTCATACTTATCTTACATCAGAAAAGTTAGGAAAGACTTCTCAATTTTTAAAATAAATAAAATTAATTAATGGCCCAGGAAATGGTTTAATTCGCAATTACAAACTGTACCTTCCTATTGAAAAGTAAGCAAGAAAACAATGCATAAATTGCGATTTTTGACCAGTATTAGTGTAAACTTGCCAAATTTTGAAATGTGCAAAAATCCCACGCATATTTGCAATGTCTTTGGGACAATAATAACCCATGAACTCCCATGAGTGACCAAGACAGAATTTCTCCTTTCATTACCAATACAATATCAAGCAGACGTGTGATGAGAATAAAGAAAAATATCAATTAGGGATTATTAGTTGATGCAATACCAAGTTCTCCAAACCAAGACTATAAGAATTGTATGGCAGATAGTAAGGAGAGTTACTAATAAATGAGATGGTCATTGGAGGGAAAGGGTTATTAAGCATTTTCGTGAATTCGAGGACGAGCAAGAAGATCTCTGATAACAGTATGCCATCCAGGAAACAACACAATTCTAGCTATCAGTACTTCAAATATTTTTTTATCTTTATTTTGTTTCCTTGTCATTTGACATGAAACAGGAAAGGAGAGATTAATGGCGAGGAAACTTAATAATTAAAGATTGCAGGGGTTTCCTGGCATTATACTGTTCAAGCTAGGTTAATGAATCTAGACAAGATATGTAATGAATACAATAATATTATTTTACAGCCACCGAGATTCAGAATATTCAGGTAAGGTGTAAAAGTATTCAATTAAACAAAAATGTGAAGGGAATCTCTTTGAGAACTGACCTCATGACGACAAGAATGTTTTTCTAATGTAATTTTAGGATTCTTGCGGTTTTTTTTTCCTTTTTGAGTGAGGTAAGACTGTTAATGTTTGGTAGAAAATGGAAGCAGCCGAAATTTCCTTAAAAATTGCAAAACCGCTGAGATTAATGTGTCAGAGCAAGTTGAAATGATGAGTCACAGCGACTAGACAATCGAATGACATAAACCGAAAATCGTTGTTTTATTCATGAAGACGAAATATTGAACATGTGTGAGGTAATGACCAATATCGGAAAGCCTAAACATCTCAACGCCCTATCGTCGACTAGTGCTCAAGTTTCCTATGTGACTTGATTTGAATATGACAGCTGGGATGGTTTTCCATGGTGCAACGGTTGGTTCACTTCAATAGCTTTGAATTTGTCCATTTGTTTCAGATCGCAGAGGGAGATGTTTGTCGCGGTCTCAGAATCCCAATTTACATGATATTTCCTCGTCTATTTACCTGCCCGACATTGACCACTGCAAACTTCAAGATCGGTCAGTACTTTTAAAAGCATGCAAGGTTTTCTAGGGATGGGGGCAAGGGGGTCCTTTACCAGCATTTTACTGACAAATGAAGCCAAGTATTCGCCAGGATAACCGGTCGTTTCGCCGACATGTCAGTTCGCCAACGTATGAGGTCGATTCGCCAACGTCTAATATCAGTAGTGTCTACTGAGTAAAGCCGTGGATGGTTTTAAAAGTCTTTTTGAATTTTGAAACACGATCGGCCGTCGAGGAAATGGGAGATTGGGGAGAGTGAAACGAATGATTTCAAACGATATTGACTTACAAACATTCCTCTGGTCATTTGTAATTACAATTATTTTAGACGTCGGGGAACTGACATGTAAGCGTTGGCGAACTGACGTCAGACGTTGGCGAATCTACCTCATACGTTGGCGAACTGACACGCTGGCGAAACGACCGACATTCCAAGGCAGGCTTTTATTAGGATCATTATTATTATAGGTGTCTGGTCAATTCGCGCTCATAATTTCGCTTTAAAATAAACTACAACTTAGCTTTCACTTGATGTAAGAGAGGTTATACATAACGCCTGCGTCAAATCGATTTCGGTGGCGATTTGACTCTTAGTGGTAGCGAGTTTGGTGGTGGCGAGTTGGTCGTAAACCATTGAAGATTATCACTTTTTGTTAACAAACACAGGGGCTACACGACCTTCTAGCTGTAGCCTTGGGAACTCATCGCACATTTGTTTCTTTTGTAAAGAGGGACGTAGATCGATGGATTGATCGAATAAATTTCATTGGGTTTGATTTGACCCACAATGTACCCCTCTCCTGTTTGTCATAGAACTTCCCGGAAAAAGGATGCTTAAGAAAATTATATCATCGGCGAAAGGAAAAGTCTGTTATGTAAAGGAAGTGATTCCTGCTAAGAAACAAAAAAAAATCTGATCGTTAAGATGTTAGCAGTTTGCAAATAATTTCTGTTCTTGCTCTTGTTTCAGAGTTTGAGGTGAATGTGGTAATCGTACTTCAAGATGATCATCTCATTACAGAAAACTTTCCAATTAAAATTATAAGATGTGAAAATAACGCTGTATGATTCTTAGAAAGGAATGACTCTCGCAAAGCGCCTCCTTTAGAAATGATTACAGGAATGTTTTTACAATCCAGAAAGTCTAGGGAAGGATTTGAAAGAAACAATGAATGTAAGTCTCTTATACGAAAAGAAGTAGTCTAACTTTCTGTTGGTTTTACAGGTGTTTAAAATGTGAACAATGTGTAGCTGGATTAAAAATTTTATATTTTATAAATAAGATGATAATAAACGAAAAAAATGTCTGTGAAAAGAGTGTGAATTCGCGCCTATTACTTTATGTTCCCCCAGAAACAAGCCTGATTACCTTGTGCGAATGGAATTATTCCATACTCAAACGCGTGACATACGCGAAACGTAGTACCTTTATTTTCCCCGTTATGTCTGTATCTCATTTATAATAATAATAATAATAATAATATTAGTTTATTGACACTTCTGGTAGTTAGAAACTAAATAAAACAGTGGAATTTACAAAATTAAATACTAATACTTAAATCTATTTACAACAAGTATCAATCGTATATGTGCACGATCCTTCGCAGTAAAGCACTATTTGAGCAATAGTGAAAATCAGACCTGAAAAAAATTTCAGGCCTGTACGGGACTCGAACCACTGACCTCTGCGATACTAGTGCAGCGCTCTACCAATTGAGCTAACAAGCCAACTGGGAGCAGGCCATCAAATTAATTCGACATGAACCCGTCGATGATAAATCAAACAACAACAAACATATGAAACATATGTATGAACTGCGGTTATGAAACGTATATGTGCACGATCCTTCGCAGTAAAGCACTATTTGAGCAATAGTGAAAATCAGACCTGAAAAAAATTTCAGGCCTGTACGGGACTCGAACCACTGACCTCTGCGATACTAGTGCAGCGCTCTACCAATTGAGCTAACAAGCCAACTGGGAGCAGGCCATCAAATTAATTCGACATGAACCCGTAGATGATAAATCAAACAACAACAAACATATGAAACATATGTATGAACTGCGGTTATGAAACGTATATGTGCACGATCCTTCGCAGTAAAGCACTATTTGAGCAATAGTGAAAATCAGACCTGAAAAAAATTTCAGGCCTGTACGGGACTCGAACCACTGACCTCTGCGATACTAGTGCAGCGCTCTACCAATTGAGCTAACAAGCCAACTGGGAGCAGGCCATCAAATTAATTCGA